CTACTTCCAGCCCTATTTCTCCTACCCCTGCTGCCTCTACCTCTAGCAACAGCTCTCCTATGGACACTACGACCACGTCCACCCCTGCCACCCCCATCCCCTTTGGGTAAAGGGTGAAAATAATCACTTGTTTGTGCTTCATGAACACTCTCGCTTGCACGGCGGCACCATTGCGCTGCAAAGATGTACCGGGAGAAGCGTGATCATTAGACGACTGATCGTCATTTCCAAAAGGCAAATATTCCCCTTCAGAGTCAGAATCACGAATAACATTTACAACACATCCTCACGGTACAACTTTTTATTAGCCATTTGGTGATTTTCTCTCACAAATCTCACAGCTTACCCGCACGCTCTGAACTGAACTGCTTCCGCATCAATGACACGAAAGCTCACTTGCTCTGCTCTTAACAAACATAACCCCAGGTATTTATTCAATACAGTAGCTAAATTAATGAAAAATAAAGCATCAACAGGTGCTTTTCTTTTTTCCCAACAGCACAGCAGTAATGACTTTATGAACTACTTTACTTCCAAGATCGATACTATTAGAGATAAAATTGTAACCATGCAGCCATCAGCTACAGTAACGCATCAGATAGTGTGCTATAAATCCCCTGAGGAACAATTCCACTCATTCTCTACTATAGGAGAGGAAGAGTTGTATAAACTTGTTAACCCCTTTGCTGTCACTCCCCATTTTCAGCATTGAGACACAAATGACATACCCAAAATAAAAAGGTTGCTGCCCACGAGTCTTTCTGACTAGATACATAATCAACATATGTTCACAAAGCTGACACTTCAAAGTTTACTGTTCAAAGTGGTAGGGAATACAAATGAGATATTACACTATATTAGGAACTACAGTCTATTTTATTAAGTATGATGTCTTGTCACAATTTTGCCACTTTGGCGCTTAGAGGGTTAAAGATCCATCTCTTTAACCTGGCATTCACATAATACACGATCACATTTTTTAAATTCAAATCCGTTAAAGGATTGTTAGGCTGCATTAATTAGGTCAACCGGCAATAATTACTCAGACTTTTATGATAATAGAGATAAATAAGCTCAAACATAAAAACAAAAATACAAATATTAAAAACATATTTTTTAAATGTATAAAAAATATGTTGCTGTGGTATATGGTTTTAGAAACACAATGAAGCTAAAGCCACAAGTCTACTAATGCTTCATTTCAAATTTCAGGACAATCTTTTAAACTGTGAATTTTATGAAACATTTTCTAAGACCATCCTGTAAGAGCTCCTGCGTGCTGTCGCCTCATGTCTGGCCCGGCAAACTGCCCTATTCATGATGCTATTGCTCTTTCACACCTCCGCCAGGTATGAGACATAATCCTCATTATTCCTTTATCATTATTCTTTTGTTTTTATTCAGCCATTATAGCCTTTAATGTATATTGGGATCGAAGCGATGTGGCTTGGTAAACCTTAAGCCACATCTCTTCGAACCCAATATACATTTACTCGCCTATTATCAAAAGTCTTTCTAAAAAAATACAACAAAACATTTTCTTGCGTCCTTACGTCAATTATTTTGACAAAATACATCATGAAGAAGAGCTGCACCTGTTCTGCAGCTGCATTAGAGCTAACATTAGCATCAAGCTACATAAGACAATTTATGAGATTAACTGCGGGCGGCAGATCCTTTTCCTATTTAGCGCCCACACTCTGGAATAATCTTCCTAACATTGTTCGGGAGGCAGACACACTTTGTCAGTTTAAATCTAGATTAAAAACCCATCTCTTTAACCTGGCTTACACATAACATACTAACATTTCTAATATTCAAACCCATTAAAGGATTGTTAGGCTGCATTAATTAGGACAACTGGAACCCGGAACACTTCCCATAACACCCGATGTACTTGCTACATCGTTAGAAGAATGGCATCTATGCTAATATTAGTCCATTTCTTTCTTATTCCGAGGTCACCGTAGCCACTAGATCCAGTCTGTATCCAGATCAGATGGTGATGTCCTCTACAGCCCTGAATGTCAGCGGAGACCATGTCAACTAGATACGCCCCTGTTGATCCCCTGTGATGGTCTTCATCCCTCCTGGGGTGGTGCCACCCTTCTGTCTAGAAATATGGCACATAGTCTTAGAGTTTGTACTTGACTAACTGGGGCATCAATTATTACGACGAAATACATCATGAAGAAGAGCTACACCTGTTCTGCAGCTGCATAAGAGCTAACATTAGC